GACCTTATCACTATGTAGAGCTATTTGTATCAGAATTATCTAACATTTTAAATCAGGTTTATATTCATCCATCTCTGATGTCGCACACTTATAAAATATTTAACACTAAAAAATTTAAAATTACAGTTACGTACATTATTTGTGTTCTAAACAACAATACAATGTTTTCAGTAATAAACTTGGCATTAATATAATCTCAATAGATAAAATCTAACTTGATTTAAATTGGAATTTTGCTTCTGTTATACCTACTCAACCCTTATGGTTTTTTTTTTTTTTTTTTTTTTTTTTTTAAAAAACAAACTGGAAATAGCCAAAAATGATTAAATTCGTATGAGCAATACAAAAAAATTTATATTTAACCATGCTTGAATGAACCCTGATTTAAGAGTATATGGATAAAATTTCGAATGATGAATTATAATACATATTCGATGTTTTAACAGAATTGAACTCAAGCCTTTCTTGATAAATTAACTAAACACCCTGAAACTCAATTAAAAAAAGCACACATTAAATAAGTTTCTATTTTAGCATGCAAGATGTTGTATGACTTTGAGAAAAAAAAAACCAGTCTAAAAGGATGATTAAAAATTCTGATCCAAAATGTATTTAAGAAAAAAAAAAAAAACCTCTTCAAAAGATTCAATTCAGTGCAATGCCACCCCAACTCGCATCTAAACAAACACATTGCCATCTTAGTGATAAACAAAAAAAAGAGATGTGTGAATTTGCAGAAAAGAATCAGAATCTTAAACATCATGATATAGCAAGCGAGTTTATGAAGCATTACTCTGATTTAAAGATTGATCACTCCACCATGTCAAAAATCTTGAAAAAAGCCGATGAGTATAAAAAACTCGAAGATAGTGAGCAAAGTGAAAAAACCTTCCACCATCGTTCTGTGAAACATCCAATGTTGGAACATGCTATGAATATGTGGGTAGAATGGGTCACAGCAAATGGACTAATCATATCAGATTCATTACTAAAAGAAAAGGGCCGTCAGTTTGCAGAAGCATTTTCTATTCCTAAAGAATTATTTTTATTTTCTAATGGGTGGCTTACTAAATTCAAAAGGCATAATGGGTTAAAAAGAGTTACGATGCATGGTGAAGCATCAAGTGCACCTTTAGAAACCTTACCAGCAGAATATATCAAATTACAAGAAATTCTCTCTTACTACGATCCAGAAGACATCTACAATGCTGATAAGACTGGTTTGTTCTATAGACTGCTTCCAAATCAAACACTTTCTAATAAGACAATGGCTGAAAAGAAAAAAGTTAATAAAAATTTGAATTTATTTAGCATTCACTAGAGGTGAAATTCATTACAATATGTTTTTAATTAGTATTTGATCTATAGAATATTTTGCCTCAAATTTTAAATTAAAATTAAACTTTAGAATCTATAAAAAATTTACCTCAAACTTTAAATTAAAATTAAACTTTAGGATTAGAGGTTTAAGGTTTAATTAAAGTAGAGGTTAGGTTATTTTAAAAGCTAAACATTTTCACTTAATACAGTTTACCCTTGTTGGATCCCATTATAGTGGATACCTCATTATAGCGAAGCAATTTTCTGAAACAATTTAAAAGTTTTATTATTATATTATATAATGCTATAATGGATATTCATTATAACAGACAAATTTCTCAGTCTGGCCACTATGTTATAACAAGTGTAAACTATATACCAAATACAATTATTCAAGGCGTTTTTGAGAAATAGTATGCCTGATAAATCATACCTCCAGTAAATGTTAAAATCATCCTAAAAATTTATAGTTAACTAAATTGTTTCTTTAGAATAAATCAAGAGTTACGATTCTGTTTTGTGCTAATTCAACCAGTTCCCACAAGCTATGCTCCTTGGTTATTGGTTCCTCTAAGAAACTACAATCCTTTAATGGAATAAATAGATCACAATTGCCAGTAATGTATAGAGACAATAAAAAGGCATGGATGAGAAACGATATTTAGAAAAAATGATTAAAGTTTATTGATAAAGGTTTCCGAATTCAAGATAGGCAGGTATTGCTTCTCGTTGATAATGCTACTTCTCATATTACTCCTGGAACAAGCAATACTAATGAAGTTCAAGATATTACTGATGAATCTTCATCTGAAAATGCCTCTGATAATGAACAAGAAGTTCACAGGGAAGATCATGGGGAAGACCACAGGGAATACTACAGAGAAGACCACAGGAAAGACCATAGAGAAGACTACATAGAAAATAGCAAGAAAAATCCCAAGAAAGGTCCCAAATAAAATGCTATCATCTTACAAATGCCACTGTACACTTTTTCTCTCTAAATATGACTGCTCACCTCCAACCCATGAATGCTGGGATTATAAATAGTTTTAAGTCCAAATATAAAAAACTATATTGTCATCATTTGCTTGAGCAATTTGACAACAATAAAAAGGATAATGAGTAATTTTTTTTTTTTTTTACTTTTTTACTTTTTTTTTTTTTTTTATTTTTTTTTTAATGATATTATTTTAAACTTATCATATATTGCCTTCAGAAAACTTTCTTTAAGACAAGCCATCGATTTTATTGATGAAACTTGGGAAGACATTATTACTACCACTATAAATAATTGTTGGAAAGCTACTAAAATTTTACCAGAAAATAGTAAGCCAAGTGAAAGTGAATTAGATAGAACCGAGTTAGGTGAAAGTGAATTAGGTGAAAATATGTTAGGTGAAAATGAGTTAGGTAGAAGTGAGTTAGGTGAAAATGAGTTAGAAGCGATCGAATTTGATATCCCTAAGGTCGATGATATTGATATGTTAATTGATAATCTTTCAGTTGATGATAGCCCAAAGGTTCAACAATTAATACGGGATATTAAAGAATACAGTAAATTAATCAACCAACCTGTTATAACCAAGGACATACTCACAGATGAGGGTATAATTGAAATGGTAAAGCATGACTTCGAAGATAATAGTGAAGTTAGTGATGACGATGATGAACCACCACTCTGCCACCAGTAACTGTTACAGAAGCTGTAGAGGTGCTTAAGAAAGTTATAAGATATCAGGAGGGCCTTGAAGCCAGACAAGGATTCGATGAAAATGGACTAAAAATGTTAAGGAAAAATCTTAGAGAATGGAATTACGAAAAAAAAAAATAAAATGCAAAGTTCAATTTTATCTTTTTTTAATTATGATGATTCAAGAGATGTCAGATACTAAAGAAAGCCTGGTGATTATAAAGTTGCTACTACCAGTTTTTAGAGGTATAGGCCTATTCTATTAATGTTATTCTATTTTTTTCTATAATTTTATGGATTTTATATTCATGATCAACAAATTTATTATATAACTTGCTAGGAGTCATTTAGAAGAAACAATGGGAGATCTTTATAGAATTTCAATTGTTAGAATAGTAAGAGGTTGCCTGGAGATGTTATTTTCTGAATTTTGGTAAATTTTTTTTGATTTAGATCAAAAAAAAAACACACAAAAAAAAAATTAAAACTAGCCGTTTTTTATAAGTCTTCACATTACCACAATCAAGGGCACAGCCACATAACATTTTGCCCTTATAATTCTTCAGAAATTCGAATTGTAAATTTTTTGAATGCTTTTTTTTTAATTTTTTCTAAAAAATAAAGCCACTACTATCAGCTTAGAAAAATAGTTCAAATGCTGTAAAGACAAGCTTGATTACTGAATCAATAATCACGAATCTATTTGAAATGAGCTGTAAACTTAAATTAAATTGTATGATATTGAATTATAGGATATATAGCATACTTTTCAAACTTAATACTAATTTAAAATTTCACAGTTGGTATGTCTAGGATTTATTGTAAAGTTGATAAGCTTCGATTTATAAGTGAGTCTAAACGAAGCTCTAAAAGACCGTAGAATTCTAAAATGTATAGAGACAATGTTTTACCAATGATATGTTTTTCTGACAATCTGATATTATGATAAATTTTTTTTATTTAGGGGATGGCTAAAGCAAGGTGCAGTTAGGGTTAGCTTTTTTAATGAAGTTAGGGTTATAATTTTATAAAAATATCAAGAACACAATTTATGCTATATGTAAATCAATATGTAAACGCATCTTGCTTTAACAGACTCTTTTATTTAGTATTATAGTTTGATCAAGACTCAGGACATGTATAATCGAGGCTTTAACTCTCAGTAAGGGTAAGGAGACTTTTATTAAGAGTGAATAGTCCTCAGATAAGGATAGATAGCTGCTAGCAAGGGTTCAGAACACCCCAAAGTTAATGTGTAAATGCATCAAACTAATAAAGAGAATATATTCTTATTCGTTGCATAATAGTAATAACATACTCCTTTGCCAGCTAACTACTCTCATTAATAACCAATTATTATTAAAGCTAAATCTCTTATCCCGCTAATTATGCTATTAAAATCTGTAATTATTACTCTTCTAATCTTAGATGTAGCACCGATAATAGTCTAGCATATTTAACTTGTATTACTATTTTTGAAAGAAACCTGATATGTGAAATATAAATTTGGCCTACCTTGTGCAAGGAATATTCGGCTCTGAACCATGACCTATAATATAAATTTAGTTAATCAGAAAACTGTTGATTTGTGATAAAAATATCCTAAGTCGTTGGGTATGTATATACACACTACTATTAGTTAAAACAAAATTTCTGTTTTGTATATGATCTGGAAAGAGTTTTATAAAAATTGTACTCTTGATTATGATTGGTTGTATCTGACAAATTTTTATTGGCCGATTTAAAAATCACATGATATGTGACTTTACGGAGAACAATTTCTATATTATGGTCAAAAAAAAAATGTGATAGTGACTATAATATAATTGTGACTATATAGAAGTAAAAATATTATTAAAATAATTGATAAATTTATAATGGTGATTATAACAATTTTGTGACTATATGGGAGGTGACTATATGAAGGTTAGACTGTAGTTAACATATTTCATTTTCAATAAACAAACTGTATTTTTTAATTATTCTTTACCATCATTATTCATATTTGCATTATCATTTTGAGTTAAGTCAATGATACTTTCATTATTATTAAAATTATCCACATTAGCATATACAAAATTACTTCTTTTATTTCAAGCTTCTGGGTTATTTACCTACTCATAATTGAATATGATATCCTCTTTAGAACTGTCTTGAGAGGTAGAAATGCCACAACACTTAAATAATCGTTTAATAAGGGCAGTATCAACTTGATCTCATGCTCTTTTTATTCACTCAGCTACTACATTATAGGCAGGACGCTGAATACAACTAGTAGATGTTAATTTCTTAACTTTTTCTCCTATCCAATCAAGATAATATTGTGATACTTAATTTTATTATGTAATTATTATGTAATTATTGTGTAATTATAATGTAATTATTGCATAATTGTGTAATAAAAATCAAAAATTTGATTTAATATGAATACAGTACTATTTTACCTTTTCTTTAAAAGATTTGTTGATATATACATCTAATGGCTGCAATTTTTTAGTTAGTCCACCTAGAATTACTGTAATGTTAGTGTTTTTTTCTTTAAATCTAGTTTTAACTGGATCTGTTGTATGACCATGAAATGAATCCAAAACAAATAAAGAATGAGGATTAATGAACAAAGGAGCATAACAGTTTTAAATATTTTTTATCCAAAAAATTATCTCATCAGAATTCATATAGCCTTCTGAATTAGCTCTTACAACAATACCTTGAGAAAATGTTTGTCGAGATATATTTACTAACTTAAAAATTACCATAGGAACCAATTTGGTTCCATCAGCCAAACAACCTAAAACAACTGTGAAATTGGACTTTTTGTATCTAGTTGTATGGATTGAAACAGTATGGACACCTGTTTCTTCGACAGTATAATTGCTAGATACATCAAATGCTAATGGAGTCTCATTCATATTTCTAATGAGCGAAAGAGAATAATTGTAAAGCATACGATGATATAGTACATTACTTAAAAATTCATCCCTTAGAGGTTCTAAATCCTCTGGCAATTTTTGTGCTACAGTAGTACACTGCTGATTGCTAAATTTATTATGACACATAAAGCTTTCTACCCACTTTTCACCCTACTTGCATTCGTTGATTGTTGGATAAAGTGAAACAAAACGTGGCTAACTTGCAAGTTGTTTAGCTTTTGTTCTAATTATTTGTCTAGACATAATTTTTTGTTGTGAATGTAAAGATTTAACCCAATTTTTAATATCAACTTCTAAAAGTGGATACTTAGAACACATACCAATATTTAACTGTTTTACATAAGGTGGAATATTTTTTAATTCAATTTGTTTCTTAATTCACTCATGTAATTGTTTTGATGTTATATTAAATTGTGTTGCAACACTTCATTTACTAACTATGAGATTTTTTTTAAGGTATGTAACAATCGCTAATTTTTCATGTGCATTTCAGCTTCTTTTTTTTTTTTAGTAACTTTCGATTGCTTTTCTTTTGTTTTATTTTGTCTCATATTATTACTAAAAATATAAAAATTAAAAATATTATATAATATAATTATGCGCAAATAAAATTTTTATTACCTTATTACTAAAAAAACTTGATTTATTCAAGATGTGACAGGATTAAAAAAAAAACATAAAAATCTTTTTAAATTATATGTAGAAAATAAAGTTTGCATATATTAATTATATTAATAAATCAATTACCTATATGTATAAAATAGCAGTACTAGTACCTCATAGATCCTCATAAAATCATTAACTAATATTCACCAATTTTGCTATCATTCTTTCACATTTTCATGAAATGCATTTTTATTATTCTGATATTAACTCTTTTCATATTTAACAATAAAATAATAATAGTTAATAGATATTAGGACCATTGTCCTAACATTGCTTATGAAGTTTAATATATTGAGACAGTATATCTTTCGATTGCTTTTCTTTTTTTCTTTAGAATATAAAACAAATTATGAATTGAATCAAAGAATTGAAATGACTGATTTCTGCTTGATGGTTATTTCAAAGTTGTAGATATCAGATTCTTTATTATGTTTATATTTAGGGTTAATAAAGCATTTTAGGTTCGATGTATGTTAGCATTTCATGAAAAATTAAATTTAAAGTTATAGATGTCTCATTTATCTGTTTTGTAGTCCAAAATCTGCGATATTTGGCTTTTTTGATAAGTATTGTAACTGCATTGTGCATCTATTTAAATGATTTAACTGTATAAGTTTCTATGCTTTTAGTACATCTTTGCATATAAAAACATTTGGTTGGCATAACACATACTGGTATTTATTTACTAAACTATCACTAAGATTATTCACTTTACTTCATGATTTGCTATTGTATCTGATAGATAAGTTTATTTAACATCTACCATATTTCTAATTCTCTTAACTGCATCCTAAATGCTACTGCTCTTGACATGTCTGCTAATTCTGTTTCTAATCTACATCAAGAAATTCTTACACTTAA